AACTTGTCTAATAAATAAATATTTATATTTTAAAGATAAAATATCATACTAATTTATTTTTTATTTTTAATTATTTAAATAAATTAAATATTTTTCCCTTCTATTTTTTGTAATTCAGGATTTATCTAAAAATATGGTTAGCATTTCCAAGCCATATATGGAATTTAAATATTTTATGAAGTTCCTTTGTAAAATTTACAAAAAAATTATATTTAGTTCAAGTAGTAAATAATATAAAATTATTAAAGTACGATAAAAAAATAAATTTATACATAAATTCATATAAAATTAAGAATATATTTTAAATTTTATTATTTAATGAAAATACATTTGTTACAAATATTATCCTTGAAAAAATATCACTTAAAAAATAACCCCACTTTCACTTCAATTGTGTTTGTGCATATATTTTTGTAATATATTCTCATAAATATTTTTACCATTTTTTACAAATGTGTATATTTAAACTATATACCATGCATTTCGCATATTCTCCTTAAAAAAGTTGTAAATGTAAATTTCATTCTACTAATAAAACATATAAATTTAATGCTATAAATCTTTGATCTTTTACCATTATGAAGAGACTTCAAAAAATCAATGTATCAGTTAAAATTACTTCAGTAATGATCATACCAATCTCGGTAGCATGAACAAATCAGGCGAAGGGAATAGACGAAGGTCTACACTTTTTAAGCAAAACTTCTTGCACTGTGAAGTGAGAATTGGAAGTGGAGAGGTCCCAGTAAAAGGGGAAGTAAGATTTAAATTGAATATCTATAACCATGAATGAACTAAGATGTTATATTAATCAAAATTGCACTTTTGGATCAGTTCAAACGAATATACAAAGATGAAAGAATATATCTACTCACCCAACTGAATACTCTGAATGGCGAAACAAACAGAAAGAGTTAAAGAATTAATCTGTGTTGCTTGGTTCCCGAAATCTTGCGATCCCTCTGCACTTGCTCAGAAACACGTATAAAGGCCTTAATGCCAGTGATCCAACTACTTCTCGACCTCTCCATTCTGTTTTTAGGTATAAATCTGTAAAATGCAAAGAATATGAACTCGAATCTCTTCAACTATAGTGTTAGAAAGAATTAGGCTTCTCGTCCATCTGCAAGAGCAAGTGCCCGTTCTGCTTCTGGAGTAGAGAACTAATAGGCTCAACAGCCACGTTAGGAGTCAAAAGTGATTCCACATTAAGAATTTGGTCTTGTTCATTTTGTATTTGAAATCTTGTATCATCCAAGTGACTTTTGTTTGTATCCGTACTTCAACCTTTCTAATAATTTTTCTTTTGTTTTCCTCTTCTTGTCCATCTTGAACCTATATCTTTCCTCCCTCTCTCTTTCATAAATCCCTTGCCAATGTACTTCTCCTGTTAATGGCCATAACCATGTGTCCCTCGGGAAATCACCATCATCTGCAGTCTCTGCAAGATCTTCGTCCATCGTCTTCAACAACGTGAAGTTAAAATATTTTGCCCACATAACACCCTTCCGCTTTTCAAGTGGATGCTGTTCTTGTAATGAACCAGTCCGAGGATCCATGTAAATCATCTTCCTCCCACTGTGATAAGCCCAAACATTGACCAAAAGCTCCATTATCCGGCAATAACAGTGCTTTCTCTGCTCATCATTAAAGCAAATGAGAAAAATTTTATTAAACTCCCATATGAACTAACCACCAGAGAAGATGCACCCAGTTTACCTCAAGCGCCGAGGAACCCAACAAACACATGTTGCCTTCACTAGAATTGCTATGCAATGCATCCAGAGAATCAACAAACATCCTGCAGTACAATAAAATCATTTTGTTACAAACAGCCTTCAGAAGTTGGTTGCAGTTGATTTCACATGCTTCAATAAAAAATTATGTTGAAAATGAAATTCTCCGATAATTACCTTGAGAACATTATGAACTC